CAATTATTCAAAGTCAAACTAATGACATCACCTTATTCCCCCCTCAAAGCCATATAACTTTTGTTTGAAACATTTTTTTCTAAGATCAAAAATAAAAAAGTTATTTGGGGTGGCACATTAAAATGGGACACCTTGTATATGCGTCCTCAAAATAAAAGTGCATAATTTACATAATGATTGAGATAACGGTAAATAATATAGCCAATATATATAATTTTAGGTAACGGTCACATTTTCCTTAATGACATCTAATAGATAAAAAAAATGATCTCGCACAGCACCTCTCATTACAAATATATTATATACGTATCTATATTGCACATTAACATTGCGTTTTATTTCATATCAAATATAATGTATTAAATACATAATTAACGCAATGGATATGAAATATCCAAGTCGAAATACGTCCTTAATACGTACATAACATGTAGCAGATATATTGTGCATATTTAAATGTATGGACGCATATTCTAGTCGAAATACAATACGTATATAATAGGTATGTAATATGTAACAGGTACATTGTGCATATCCAAGTCGAAATACATATATGATATATTGTGCATATTTAAATGTATGAATATTAAACACGTAGTTGAAACATATATAACAGAATGCAGAATGTAATAATTGATGGCGTACTGTAGTAGCATCACATTAAAAAAATCATAAACGGATAATTTTGAGCAAATGTTGTGTGATTATTATATAACTGACTGTATCTAAGAATAACAAATTTAACAATATTAAAGTATCATATTAGACCGCAATGTAACACACCACAATCAAGAAATAGAAGTTTATTTCAGTCAAGCTAGAATTTTTAGTGCTGATCGAAACAATTCGTATTAAACAAATTTAGGTTAAATAGTAAAAAATAATTTAAATTAAATAGTAAGTCAAAGGTAAGTTCCCTGGCGGAAAAAAAAGTTTACAAAAAAGTACAAAAAACTACATAGATTGAGACAAGATTTTAGAAATTCTTAATTTTTCCTAGATATATTTGTAGTAGGATGTAGAGTGAGGTTTGTTCGTCTTAGAAATTCTTAGTTTTTCATAGATATTCGTAGTGGGACACACAATGTCATAATTAATTTCATTTTTTGAATCTTAAAATTTTAGAGCCAAAGTATTAATCAAGAGAGATGGCATTAAAATTTTTTTAAATTAAAAAATAGAATTACCCACTTTGGTCTGTATAAATGGCTTATATAATACATGTACATATATATAATACATTTTGACGTGTATTTGCAATATTAGGAACATATTATATATCAAATACATAATTTACGTATTTAATACGGAAAGAATATATATTGTCATATGTATTTGGTATGTAATGTAAATTACGTATCTATAGCACGGAAATTCACGGTATAGCAACATTTCAAATTTCATGTATCTACTATGTATTTGAAATCTAAAATGCTGTGCGCAGTGCGGGATATGTAATATCGTCTTTGAACATCATTCTGTTGGGGGTATTGCAGTGCTTAACATACAGAATTTATGAATTCATGATTTTATGACAAATATAACGCCAAGCTAAACTAGTGAGGAAATCGTAATTTTTATGTAATTGTATCGTTATCATTCTTATTTGAGGCTGCAATGTACAAGATGTTATATTATTGTCAGATGTTTCGTAATCTCAGGTCTTTTTTTGGTAATTTACAGTTAGAATTGATTTTATTACAATGTAATTTTTTATGATATAATTATTTTTATTAGTAATCTTGTAAGCAATACACTGCAAAAGTCAAATAAATCCAAGATTAATAAAATGAATATCTTATCACTCGTTCTCGTAGTACGAGTACAATACTTTATCAGAGAAACATCCTAGGAATGTCCTTAGGATGTTTAGAAAATATAGGGGCGTCTCTTGGAGATCTGTGTTGTATGGAAACGAGTGGTAAATTCGTCTTGTCAATTTTCCTCGCAATAAATCAGGAGCGGATCCATAATGGAGGCCATGGGCGTCATGGCCCCTATCTTGGGTGTCTTCTTTCTTAAAAATATTAAATATATTATTGCTATAATCTAGCAAAATATCATGTTCCCAACACAAAAGTCATGAGGACATCATCATGACCTCATTCGTCACTTATGAGTCAATTTTTAGGTATGATGTCATGATGACGTGCTGTTCATTATGACTTAATTATGATTCCGTGTTCTGCCTGAGTTACTTTTAAGGTAGTTGTATCACAAAATGACTTTTCTTAAGATTTGTTTGGAGCTTTTACTATTTGAAGATAATGATATTCTCTACACATACGTATTATTTTGAGGGGAGGTAATCAGGCATGTTAAAAAAATAATTTCATTTGAAGTTAGTACTTTTAACATGTGCTAGACAAGGAGTTCCCTGTGTTAGACAAAGAGCAACAGTACATTTTCAATTATAATGCAAAAACGGTATTTAGAAATTCGCTCAAAAACTAAAGGATTATAGATAAATATAATAAACAATAAGAATCTTATTTCTAAACCGTACCATGTGAGAAACACAATTAATAATAGAAATTCAACAGCCTATACCGGTCGAAACCAAATCTTTAATGTTTTAAATAATTCCATGTGAATTATATATATACTATATATGTAGTTGCATATATAACATATTTGTAGTCCTTCAAATTGCGCGTCGAATTGGTTTTCCGGACTTATAAACGCAATTAAACTACTGAAATAATATCACGAATTAAATTAAATTGACAAGCAATTCTTAAATAATTTTGTTGCACAATCAAGCATCATATTAGCAAGATGTTAATGTACTGAAAAACTGTAAATAAATTTATTGCGAAAAACATTACCTCGGCCGGGAGTCGAACCCGGATCTCTAATTGTATTCCGCACGAGCGTCCATTAGACTACCGAGGCCTTAGTAATATTCTTCGCAATAATCGGTATATGTAATAATACTAATGTCTTAAACCGAAGAAAATGGGTAACTAGGCAAATATTAATTATAAAACCTCAGAAAGTTGCTTTACTACTTCACTAATATCCATTTCGCTTACCCAGGTAGCAAACTGTAGTTATTTTGATAGTTAGTCATTTTGAATTATTGACGTTATGTGATCTATTTAAGATGTAATAATAACATTATCTTTTTTACTAATTAATGACGTTATTTATTTATGACGTATATACAACGTCATACTTATTGATGTCAGATAAATAACTAATCGATGACGTATTGGTAACGTTATTAGTAATTAATTAATAACGTCATTCATTTGTTAATAATACGAAAATAATACATATTTTCGACGTTGGTTTATTTGACGTTATATGGCTGTGACAAATCCACGTCATTTTTACGATGATAGGATGTTAGATTCGTTAAGAATGACCAATTAATTACATCAAATAGACGATATCTTGTTACTAAGGTATCAACTCATTCTCAAATACCAACGCGCAGTGGGGAAATAAAAATTACTGTTCAAAAATTGCGATCTGCAGCAATTTTTGAACAGTAATTTTTTTTCCCCACCAAACGGCGCCCTCATAAGCCGCCCCTGTGCAATACAACCATCTTAATATTTCTTAATCACAATTTTGATATTCCAAAATATTTTTTAATTTAAGAAACTCCTAGATTCTTACTGTTCTATTGTAGATATTGCATTATGTAGCGTTATGTAAAAGTACGTCTGTATCCTATAAGCGCATAACATTATTTAATATGAAGTAATTTTAGGCATATTCTTAGAATATTAAATGTAACATTTTAATAATATTTTACTAAAATTATATAATATTACATGATATTCTCGAAATATTAATGGAAGGTTATATGTCTACTCCTAATAATATTATATGATTATTAAAAGTAACATTTATTTAATGTTACTGTAATATCGTATAAACATTAAAAAGTATTATAACAGCATTTACTTTAATTTGTAAAACTGTTACATCTGTTCAGTATAAGTATACGTTTAAAAACTGAAAATGATTTTGGCGCGCAGTTGTAGAACTGGATATGTACTTAAAATCACGTAAAAAAAATCACGTTTTTTTAGTACAAGATGCAGCATAGACTGATAAGAACTTTTCGTTATTGGATTGTGAATTCAAATTGCACAAAATTAAAAATAATTAATATTCATAAGTATTTTAATAATATTTCAGGAATATTAAGATATAATACCTAGGGTATTATATAAGTGGACATATAACCTCTATAGAATATTACTCCCGTAATATTAAAAAAATATTTATGGTATTCTCTCGAAATATTATAATAATATTATTTTCATTTTTTAATAATATCCATATAACATTCTAGGAACATTTTGCGCTTTTAGGGTAGTGCTGTGGCTATTATTTTCCGTTTTCTCTTGTAATGCGTAAATTAAAAATAAGGACGGAAAGGTATGGAAACTGGAAATTTTCTTTTTTTTTATTTTTCTAAATATTGTATTTTTAATGTTGTTGAACGGTGTTGGAGAAACTTGGTAACTCAATAGCATACAAATTCGCCAATAGTCCCTACTTTGAAAAATTTCTGGATCCGCCCCTGCGATAAAGTACAATGCGGTAATTGAATGATTTATTAGATTCACATGCGTGTCACGTATACATTGGATGGAACTGTGAGTGTTTTATCAAAATGATGTTTTGCGTAACAATCAGTATGATCCAATTTCATGAATGTAAGAATGTATTAACTTTAATCTCCGCGCGGCTGTAACATATTCTTTATATTTTTTCAATTTTAAAAGCTATGCCAAAATCTGTTGGCAATTTTAAAATGGCTAAAATATATTAATGTCAGCAGCAGTACTGTCAGTACACTGAGAAAAAAATGTTCATTTAACCAAATTAATTTAATTTGTTTTAACATTTCTTTTGTTGGAGAAATGTTTAACTATATAAATATAATATTTAAATACATACATTCTCTACCGAAAGTAATAAAGATAAATTAAATTAATTTAATCAAATAAACAATTTTTTCTCAGTGTATGGTCAACATATTCAGCAGCTTTTTAGTTGCACTCGCTACTTTCTCCTCGTGTGTCTCCCAGCCTCTCTTTTCTGTTCCGTCGAAATCTGAATATCTACGCTGCTTATTCTCACGCATCTCATCTCGTAGGTGTAGAAAGTGCAGTTGCACATCTAAAACTGACATATCTATCCGGTACACATATACAGTTGCGCGTGTTTGTCACTCCGACATTGAAACCATATCGTTGACAGTATGCGGCCTATCAAACGATTAAGAGGTTTACTTTACGAACGAAACATTGTTGGAATAAGAACCTGACACTGAATTATAGATGGCCTATAAATATACGGTGAGTTCATCAACGGTTTCTCTTGCTCGAGAGAATGATAAGTGACGAGATCCTACGAAATGAATGGTGAACGAGTGAGAACTTGTCGGATATCTTAATTCTTAAAAACCTTTGAACTTGCTTGAAACGTATATTGACTTTTAATACAGCTTACGGATGATGCTCTCGACCCTCTCGACGTAGCCATTTTAGAATCGTATAAAGTTCATATACTTCGAACTTCATATATTTTTTGCAAGTAATACTTCGAGGTTATCGATATACTGTGAAGTCGATCGAGATAATTTACATTCAAATGCGGGTATAGTACTGACGATAGTTTTTATGAGAAAATATTAAATATAATGTTTTATATGAATGTATATTATGATTGTGTAATATATTTGAAAAATATTTTTTGCGTGTTATTTTTAAGTTTATTATTAAGTTTAACATTATCAGTTTACAGCATGTGGCCAATTTAAACATAAGAAAACGCTAAAGCAGTGAGATACGAAATTTGCTGAGATTATTAGAGCACCTGCCTATATTTATAAATATAAATCATGAAAATTAATTATACACAACTACCTATAAAGGCGCATTATTTTTTTTTTATGGCCGGTGAGTATTCATATAAAATATATAATATCTTAGATATCTCATATTTTAAAAATTTATTCAATTTTAAGATCCTCGTTTATTTTTTGCGATACATTTTATGAAAAATATATAAATATAAAAATATGTTACATACTGTCATTAAAAGTGATAAAAATGTACTTTGGTTCTCAGATTTAAAAAATGATAAAAATATATTTGATTCATATTTGAGAAAACAATTATAGTGTACTCTGTATACAAACAATACATCCTTATCAAAAAACTATAGTTATATATTACAAAAACTATACGAAAGTATTAGAAAATAGGTTGTTAATAATTTTTATAATAAAAAATACATATTATCACACAGTGAAAAACGTTTTGTATTTGTGTTAAAAATGATCTACTTACATCTTTGTTAAATTTTTCTGTTGAATTTTTAACACATCCGAGTTTTAATTTTACATAATGTGATCATGTTATTTATATATTTCAAGTTAAACTGATATTCAACATTTCTTGAGTGTCAAAATAACATAATTGTATAAGTGAATAAATAACGGAAAAATAATGTATTTTTAAATGCAAAAATTCTAAGATAAATAAATAAAATGCATGTTAATTTAATATACCATTAATATTAATTTTACTAAAAAAATATGCTTCCATAATTTGCTTACAAATTGTGCCAGTGTTACATTTTTTATATAACATTGTGATACTTTCTAACATATTCATCTTGTGTTAAATTAACACAAAAATTTTGAGTAGATTTTTTTTTTATATACGTGAAGTGTATTAAATTTAACACAAATTTTCCAACTCTGTGTGAGTACAATTCATAAATGTCATTACAATTATCGCTTTTATTTTAGCTATGGGTCCTATTTTACCATTTCTGCCAGTTTACGGCAAGCAACTCGGTGTTTCACCATTAATTATGGGTAGCATCACAGCAATTTTACCTATTTTATTTCTGATCGCCAAACCAGCATTTGGCTTCATCGTGGACTATTTCCGCTCTAGGAGAAAATTAATATTTATAGCGCTACTTGCCGTAACAAGTAGTTGCTACATTTTGATGTACTTTTTACCAGCTTTGCCCGGTCCATTCTTACCAGGTCATCAGTTTCAAAATGTTTCCTGTGCATCTTTACCGCCTTGCGATATGGACTATGTAATTTCTAATTTTTTGCACATTTTTCGAATAATAAAATTTCTAAAACAATTGTTTAAAACTGACTTTTACGAGAGTTTGTGAGTTAGTACTTATTAAATCTTTAAAAATATTTATATATTAATGTGCTTTTATATATAATAAGCAATATATTATATTTTTAAAATTATGTTTTTTTTTTAAGCATACAATGGAATCATGTAACAGTACAAAAAACACTATGTGTCATTGGATATGCAAGGACGCGAATTTTTCTACAAGATTGTCTTTTCATGCGATTAAAAAGGAAGCAGTTATTTCACCGGATACCACATGCTTATTAAATATTAATGAGACATCATTGTGTCAAAAAAATATAACAAAGAATTATAATTGTAATGTTACTTGCGATAATTTTGAAGATAATCATTGTTTATATACATCTATTACTTTTTGGGGATTCGTGCTCTTAATGTCTCTTGGTAATATTGGATTTAATGTTTCTAATTGCATGAGCGATGCAATTTGCTTTGACGTATTGGGTAAGTGATTTGTAAGATCATATTTTAGTGCTATGTAAAATATAAACATGCCTACGTAGATATAACTTCAATTTTTACGGTGTAAATAGTTTAATATTTGTATATTAATTTAAGTTTTAATATTAACGCTCAATTTTATATAATAATTGAAGTAAAGGAGAAACATTTTTCTCAACATATCTTTTCAGGTGAAGGTGGACAAATGGGATATGGTAGACAGCGAGTATGGGGCACAATCGGTTTCGGCATAGCAGCATTTTTGGCTGGGTACACAGTAGACTTGTGGTCGCAAGAAGAAATCTACAAAACTTACACACCGGCGTTTCTTCTTGTACTCGCATTTACTTCTATCGATTTAATCTGTTGCAAAAAATTGGAGGTAATTATATTAAGAATTAAGAAGAAAGAAATGAAAAAAAAAATGAACATATGTAGTATACAGTTTTTTTCTTAAGATTTTCATCTTATATTGTATATAATTCTAATTACAGCTTCCGCTTATGTCAGGATCGCCAAATATACTGAAAGATATATGGACTCTTTTGAAATTGAAACCTATTGTTATATTTCTATGTTTTACTATCATTGTGGGTATCTTTGATAGCTTTATAATTTACTTTTTGTTCTGGTAAATCTTTTTTTTTTATATATTAATATGTATTCTCTTATATTCATTTGTCGTAGAATTTCGAAATTTAGTTAAAATCGAATTATATTCAGTATAGTTTATTGTGTTTAGGTATTTGGAAGATCTTGCTATGGCGACTGGTTATATGGGCGAAATTAAATTGATAGAAGGTCTAATCGTAGCTGCAGAAACTCTCGGTGGCGAGATAATATTCTTCTCTCTGTCCGGTAAATTATTTCTCTGTCATCGGTTCGTGATATATAGAGCATTTGCGTAATTAAAGATATCGTTGTACATAGTATAATGTTGAATCTTCTTTTTCAGGTAAAATACTGAAGAAATTTGGATACGGTTACACTTTTACATTTTGTTTAGTATGCTACGCGTTGCGGCTGGGATTAATATCTCTTGCTCCAACGCCATGGTGGGTACTTCCCGTAGAATTTTTTATGCAGGGACCAACATACGCACTTTGTTATACAACAATAGTAGCATATGCGAGCGTAATATCACCACCCGGCGCATCAGCTACTGTTCAAGGAATTGTAGCAGGGATGGATGATGGTTTAGGTGAGTTAATTTCCTTTTCTGGTTTTCAAGAATCATTTTATAATAGAAAGAATTTACACATATAAGTAATATAAATGTATAATTCTTTCACAAAATCGAAGTTCTTTATCGTTGAAATATTACAATATTTTCAGGTTTCGCACTTGGCAGTTTGATAGGAGGTATTTTATATAAGCAACTTGGTGGGGCAATAACTTTAAAAATATTTTCAATACTTGCAGTATTATCTGCATTTATGTATTTCATTCTTTACACTATGTACTTAAAGCATAAAATACTAGGTAAGGGATTACGTTAATTTCAATTGCAAAATATGACAAATTTTTTCAGAATATTATAAAGAAGGAATTTCTTTTTTTTTGACTTTAGACACACATAGTAATGTCGAATGGAGAAAACCTGACGATGCACATTGTGTTGTAGCAGAATGATGCCCATCTTACATAATTTTGTTATAAATAATAATAAAATCTAATATTTTATTTTCATATCTATATGTAATATATTATATGTATATATATTATATATATATGCTAGTGTTAAAATTATATTTGCTTATATTTTATATATTAATTTGATTTATTTCTTCCGAAATTTTCATGTTTATAACTTATGAAGATCTAAAAAGAATTTCTCTGTGACTCGATCCCGGCTAAGTTAGTACGAATTACGAAATTGTTTCCGTATTATATATACGGGATACGGAATTTAAAACCACGACCTATTGTTGATTACGGGTCCGAATTCACACAGAGCCACATGATATCTCAAGATATAATAAAGTATAATATACAAATTTTTCATGCATGAATATATGTAAATATGTATAAACATACATAAATATTTATAAACATGTATAATCATATATAAAATATATCCATACGTGTTCATACATCCCTCTTTCTTTTATAAAATTACTTTTTAGTCTAATAGAAATAATAATATTAGTAATGTGAAAAAAAAACATAAAAAAATAATTAAAAGAATAATTTTCACACTATTTGTTTTAGAAAAAAATCAAGTTTTAAGAAATGTATCAGTGAGTGTGGAGCGTAATTATAAGTCGCTTCACCGGTCACTGAGCGCTACATAACCTTACGGTCCAAACACGGCATTAGAGAAATAATAAACAGTAATGAATAAGTAAGAAATATGATATAAAAGATTATCTATAATAGACAAGTTATTCTACGTTACGAATTATAATAAATATACATATTAATCAGAGATTAATCCCTTTTTTACTCAGTGAGCGCTCAGTGAGCGATCGTCGCTTCTGAATGCATCCATGGATTTAAGAGGGTTTCTTTCCTCGTTCACTATATGAGAAATAAAAAATAATAAATAAATAGCAATTTAATGTGATGTACATCGAAATGGATTTATCATGTAGACGTATCCCCATATGCGGTAGACGTTCTAGAAATATTAAACTATACACTACTAAATAGGTCTCCTCGTGTTGCTTGAAATCCTCAAAAGTACATACATTCAAGCATTAAAAAAATTGAGTGCAAAAAGTGCAAGTAAACAATTGATCCATATATCTGTTCTTTTTGGCTGAACTTTTGCATTATCAGTTCATCTTTCTTCCTCTTCTTTCCTCCTGGAGAGAAAAGGAAGAAGGATGAACTGGTGCAAAAGTTCAGCTAAAAAGAACAGGCATATGTACGCATGTACATCAGTACATTTAGCACTCTCCAAGACTTTCTAGGTTATCTCTTCAGGATTTCTCTCTTAGGAACGACATGGATATATAAGGTATCTGATATTTGATAAAAGCGAGAAGAAAAGTTCTAGTGTAATCTAGTGCAGCGATAAAAAACAAACCTATTTCGACGACTGGAAAGATGACAGATACTTGGTGTTTGGATATTTTACCGTACGAGATGTTGCTGTCAATCTTCAATTATTGCAATGCATACGATTTGATGCTACTCAGCCAAGTATGCAAGCGATTTTACAAGATTATATCAGATACGGGTTGGAATAAAAAGAGGAAATCATTTCTCGTTACGAATCAAACGTCGGAAATGTTTCGTAAAAGGTATGTTGACAGGTTATGTTTAATCTGTATTTTGAACTTAAATTTTCGAAATTTTTCTTTTTGAAACCTAAATGTAGACTTGAACGAAGCAAATTCGATCGCGCAAACGTAACGGTTCTTCAGCATGATAAGATAATTATGATAAGATAACGAGATAATCTTATTTATCGTTTTTCTGCTTCTGATGTGTATTTTTATATCTAGCTTTTTTTACAGTTTACAAAAGAAAGCTCTCTTTTTCTGATAATTTTATATATACATGTATAAGAAAGAATAAAATAAAAATTAGAAGATTGTATCATTTTTAGATGTTTTACATTGTTGCAACCACATGCAGCATGGCACATATCTCAGAACTGGCGTTATGGAATATATAAAAAAGAAGCTGTATTCTCATGGAAAAGAAGTATGATACCATGGCTGAGAATGACAGACAATATGCTTTGGTGGATGTTTGGGGATCTTTATGGCTTCAAACGTCATGAAAAAACATTAAATAAGTACCGATCAAGATACTATACCACAGAATCCTGTGGTCTTTACATTAATAAATTCGTTATTTGGAAAAACTTCATCATATGTGGCTATATGTATATATATATGTATATATATGTTAATCATTTTTTATTTCTGCCACACACATATAATCCTTTGCAAAAATCTTTACAGAGATGGCACTATAGTCTACTTTATGGTGAATTTCGAAGACGATTTGCGTATTGCAAAGATGATCGCGCAGAAGTCAGCTTCTGTAAAATCTACTGTTAATGCCATAGATGCCTCATTGGAAAATGTTATTGCGGGTTTAGATGATGGTACAGTAAAGGTAAGATTTGGTGAATCTGATACAGTAATATAGTATACGATGTAAGATTCATTTCTGTTTAGATATTTAGACATCCAGAACTTTTGAATGTAAGAACTTGGGATCAAATATGCAATATGGATATAGACAAAAGAATGCGCACTGGTGATGACAAAAAGGGGGAGATCTGTATAAATCTAAAGGATAAAGTGCAATCGCTTTCAATTGATCCTACTGGAGTAAAATTTGCCGTTGGCTCGGCTGGAATGAATGATGTTCCATTACATGTAATCAATGTCGAGCGGTATGTGTAATATTGCAATATTTAATCGATCCATGAGATCTAGAATTAACTACGATTTTAATGCGATCGATCATACGAATAACACATCGAATACTTTGAAAAAAAAACTAACGGAGATTTCAGTTACACAATGATCGATACAATGCAGCACGAGTGGAAATACGGCGCTGGAATATTAGACATGGTATGGGATGATCCCAACACTTTACTCACTTGCGGCTATGATACATACATCAAAAAATGGGACTTGAGGTAACATCTCGATTGCTCAATCACTATTTTCAGCTTTATGTAATATTAACAACTATGATTTGAGAACTGGAAGATGCGTTTGCTCATGGGTGGATCCATGCGATGCAACATTATATTGTATTGCATCCGATCATCAATATACTATGATGACAGGGACACAGCATAATTGTTTAGCTATTCTATGGGATCAGAGGAAAAGTGATTTCGTTCAGGTTCTTATCAAAACTTAAACTAATATATGCTTTATAAATTACAAATTGTTTCTGATAAATATTTTTTAATATTTCTAGATGTATTACGTAAATTCGCAAGAATCATCTCGACGCAGCCCAATCTATTCTTTACAATTTGATAGTACACATCTGTACTGCGCTACAGATAAACGCATGATTGAATTAAACTTTTCACGCCGTTCAAATCAAAAGCATGATTACAAGTCGTTGTTTGTACATGTAAATAATAGGTAGATGCAGATAGATTCAAATAAAACTTTTCATGCTAAAAAAAAGTTTAATTACAATTAGTGACGAGAAACATGAAAGACATGAAGGGCAAAATCAAATTCTGAAAATTCAATCCTGGATACGATGTATCTCGTAAAAATGGTGCGTTTTTTAAAAACGATATTTTATTATAAACTGTAATGATACTAATTGTAATTATTGTGTGTTGCATATATATATAAAAATAATGGTTGTAAATAAATATTTAGGCGCAGATATTACTTTATGTTCATATTGATTTAATCATTGACTCGTAAGTTATAAAATCGACTGCGTGTTTTTTAAGCCTAATCTATATTGGTTGTATCGTAGCGTTGCAAGCATCGTAAGCATCGTGCGACTTTAAAATTGACACATCTCGAATTGACTGATGCAACAAGCTTGTGACTTGCGACGCCTACGATACGACCAATATAAAGTGCGTTCAGGGAGACGCTATTAGCGCTATTTGTGTCATTCTGTCCTTGTTTTACGTTTAATAAACAGCGAAGATAGAATGACAGAATAGCGCTATTAGCGTCTCCCCGAACGCACCAATAGAATAGGTCTTATACAAAATCGACGATGAAATAGATAATACGTATGCTGTACGTTATACAACGTGGAGGTTTGTGTATGACAGATTTTATAATCTCTTTTATCTTATGAGATACGCAGACTTCAAGTTGATTTTTTATCAAGAGTCTGTCTTGTTTCGATTATTATTCAGAACAATATAAGATTTTCTGTCAAAGTTATACAATCTGAATTGTTATTCGTATTATTATCAGCGTTATTTATTTAATACATTATTTAGATTTTATTGACTACATTTTAAAAGTATTTTATTGATTTGGAATGAATCTAAGATTATTTATCTGTAATTTATGTGTGAACAATTTGTGTTCGCATGACATTTTTTTCTAGATTACACCTTGAAGTATTAACATATAATTGAAAATCATCCTGTATAATAAACAAAGTCAATTGCATTATAACGATTTATTATGATGATGATGCATATCAGTATATATATACACATAAAAGCGACAGTTTTTCCGTACATATATATAAGATAGATAACGATTATAAAATATTAAGAAAATAATTTTTTAACAACGATGGCAAAAAGTTGTTAGATTAATAAGCTTTGCGTTTTGTTTAATTTTAGATTACTTCCACTGTAAAACTAATACAGCGTAAAAACTTAATATAATAAAAATTTGAAATGTTATGAAATAAATATATTCATTAATGCTGTACACGAATATTGTAAATGCCATATTAATAAATTTTAGATGATAGAAAGAATAGGCATTTATTACGATAGCGCTTACTCTGTATTTCCTTCACGTATTTAAAACTCAATCTTGTTAAGAGGTACAGCTGATATCCCAAAACCAATATTAAGTATCTCATTAAGTAGCCTTCTAAGAGGATCATTTATATTCATTTTTTTTAATCACTCATCAAAGCATTGTTCGAATCATATAATTAAGAATACCACCGTGTTTGAAGTAAGTCAAGTCGACATCCGTATCAAATCGTGCAATCACTTCAAATTTCTTCCCGTTGTCCATGTTCACAGTGATCGTTTCTCCGGGTTGACAATTCATGGGGATCATGATATCGTATTGCTCGTACCCTGTTAATCCCAAGGTCTCTGCATTTTCTCCAGGAAGATATTGTAGCGGAACAATGCCCATACCCACAAGATTGGACCTGCAAATAAATAAACAAATTTAAATACAAAGTACATTAAATAAAAGCAATTGTAAACCAGATTTCTTTAACACTAGAAGGACCGAATTTGACGATCCCCCTAAAAGGACCGTAAGAGCCAATTTGGCTCCAAGCACATTTTCTTCGTGTAAACAACAATGGAAAGAAATGAAACGTACAGATAATTATAATGAACGTTTTAACAATAGTATCGCTAATTTTATTAATTTATTTTATTACAAAAAGCAGTTATCATATTATAAAAAGTCATATTGGTTTGAGAAGTATTAGTTCGCGAGGAGTCAAATTGGCTACCTCGGTCCTTCTAATGTTAAACAAAAATAAAAAAACTTAATATTTTATTTAAAACTGTTTACTTTAAACATACAAGCTAACTCTTAACTTTTCAAAAGAGATGTATCTTATAATTCAATGAAAAAATTATTTAAAATTGATTAAAAATAAATATTGTTGCGCCCGCTTCGCACGATCGCACTCGCAACCGCGACGCGCACTCCCGAGACGCGGAAAGGAATGGACTCAAGGATTAATGGAAAATAATAAAGGAGCTCTTTATTAAGATCGGCGATGCAGTACAAGAACACCATGGAAGGAATATAATGGTAATCGGTGGAGAAGCACGTCCGAACGCGCTGACTGCTCTCCAAAGATCTGCCGGCCGTTTTCGATAAATAACGGGACGTCGTCCTGGCAACGTCGCGACACCACAGATCGGCAAGCGTAGCATGCGACGAAGCACGGGTGTAACAATATGTTTAAAAAAATACTTGCCTGTGTATTCTTTCATACGATTCTGCTATAACCGCTCGAATACCGAGTAAATACGGTCCTTTGGCGGCCCAATCTCTGGAAGATCCAGATCCGTATTCCTTGCCAACCAGAGCGATTAAAGGTGTTTCGTCTTTCGTGTACTTCTCGGCCGCATCGAAGACGTCCATCTAAATAATATATAGTCAATTGTTATTAATACATTCGCTATCAATGTATATTTTAAAAACTGTCCGTTACAGATATTATGGCATTTTTTAAGCATTTAATATATTTAAATCACACATATGTTTAAAAAATGCAAAATTTATGCTTATTTATATATCTGTGACAAGGATTAAAACGGATTACAATATTAAACAAATATTAAATATTTAAAGCTGTATGCAGCGAGAAATTAAACCAGAGCGAGAAAGCACATATATACCTCTTCATTTGTTGGAATGTAGATCGTTCGTGGTCCCGCTTTACCAATAAATTTATTCACAAGACGAATGTTAGCGAATGTGCCCCGCGCCATCACGGCGTCGTTTCCTCTACGCGAGCCGTAAGAATTAAAATCTTTTGGCGTCAAGCTGAAAATGAAAAAATCATTATTAAAAATTTAGTTAGTTTGCATACGTTGTCTCCACTATCTCATTGATATCAAACTCACCCTCGATTAGCTAGATATCTCGCCGCTGAGGAATTACGCGCAATACTGCCTGCTGGGCTAATATGATCGGTTGTAACAGAATCTCCAAGATTTACGAGCACTCGCGCTCTTGTAATCGATTTGATTGGAGATAGCTCCTGTAAAACCATTTTTCATCTTTTTACAAATAAAAATTTTACGATAAAAGAGCAAAATTATATTTCAACACATAAATGTCTTTAAAAATAATTTAAAATTTGTTTAATCCGACTGCTATTATTAGCACAGTTCAAATAGTTTTTCTATATTAATATCTAAAATTCTAAATATGTAACATAACTTTCAAGAAGTGAAAGCTAATGATAAAATAAAAAAATTAAATTTAAATTCTTTTTATATTCCATAAAAAAATTCAAGATCAAGCATTTATAGTATTTAGTACAATAAAATTATATATTTAATTACCTTCTGCAAGTTATCGAAATAGGGTGGATTTTTAATGTATGTAGAATTAATGTCCCATGGGTACAGCTTGCCGTCAGGTGCTACCAAGCTTGCCCAATTGTCACTACCATGTTCGATTTTACTGTAGACTTCTTTGAACATGGCTGGGATGACATATTTCTGCTCAATAGCTTGAATTTCTGATCTGGTCGGCCAAATATCTTGTAAAAATATTGGAGTACCATCGGCTTTGCGACCTTGTAAATAACAGAAATGTCATATAAATTATGCATACGTAGTACGCATCTCTTATAAAGACTATATATAAATCTAACAAAGCGAAGATGATTTTACATCTTACCCAGTGACTGTTTCTCAAAGTCAAAGTCTACAGTGCCGGCAATGGCATAGGCTATTACTAGGAGCGGAGACGCTAAATAATTCGCCCGGGTATTCGGATGGACTCTGCCTTCAAAGTTTCTGTTGCCTGACAGAACTCCACAGCAAATGAGTTCATTCTACAAGGTATTTAACGCTGTTTTATATACAGAGATAATGCTTATAAAAAAAAGAAATTATTTAATTTCATAATTAATGAATGATATGGACGATAAGCTTTGCGAAGTTTAATGGTTTTTTAATGATTTTTAAACGCAATTTTATTCATTTCATAATTGTCAACAATTTATTGAATTATTTTTATCTTTTAGCAAAAATTGAAAAAAATAACAAATAGAATTTAAATACGAAATCAGCAAATTACTCTACCTTTTCAATAGTTTCGACTATAGCGTCAGGAAGCGGGCCGCTGTTTCCAATACAAGTCATACATCCATAACCAATGATATCGAAACCTAACTTAGTTAAATATGGAATCACACCACTTTCCTGGAGATAATAAGTAACAACTCCAGAGCCAGGTGACAATGATGTTTTTATATATGGCTCAACACTCAAGCCAGCTTCCACTGCCTTTTTAGCAAGAAGACCTGTATGTTAAAGTAGCAAATCTTATATTCTAATTCACAACATCCTTTTCATAGGATTATGATTTATATTCTTTCATAATTAAATAGTTAATAAAATTTTAAATTAACGATAAAAAATTAAATATTTGTTATTTTTCTTTCTTTTTACTTACACAAGAATGTTTCATTTTCTTATCATTCTAATATAAATTTCAAAATATGAAACAAGTTTTAAATAGACAAAATGTTTAAGCTAATAATGACTATCCTAATAATAATTTAAAGCACTAATTTCATTTTTAATTCTATTTCAAGTTTAACTGCGGTTTTAAAATCTAAAAATTCATGGTAATGCATTAACAAATGTCGATAATTGATAGATATTTAAAGCGGTGTTAACAGATTGATTTCATTTCACGCTCTTCAATAAATC